TTAGGTGCTCAGGCATGAAACTGTGCAGCTCAAACACTATACATTTCCGCTCACACTGAAAAAAAATTAGAGGGAACATTGCGCTCTGCCCTCCTCTGTGAGGAGGTAACCTGTGTGCACCTTCCTCTGTGAGCCAGAGGGAAGGCTCCAAGCCCCAGTGTGTCCATTGTGGATGGTGTAAGGCAACAGCATGCTTTGAACTGATATGAAAAGTCAAGCAAACCTGATAATTCTCATACTTTGCAACTATTTAAAAGGGGGGGGGAGCCCTACCACAGTTTCATAGTGAATGTGACATTAAAACAGTTAAGATTAGCTATAGAGTCTCAAAAAGTACAGAATCCACTGGACAAAACAATTTTCAACAGGCTTTTCATGTGCAACATGTAGTTTTATTATAATACCAGCACATGTCATTAGATTTCTCTCCATCAGAATAACTGCTAATTTCAATTGATGTATTTATGAATATTATTATATTGTTTTTATTTCGATTCTATGTTTCTGTCTGGAAGGCATCAAGGAATTTAGCTTTTTTTGTTTTGATTTAATGAACAACTAAAAACAATAAAGTCAAGGTACAGGTACAGGTAGTCCTTGACTTCATTTAGTGACTGTTCAAAGTTACCACAGGACTGAAAAAAGTGACTTATGACCATTTTTCGCACTTACGACCATTGCAGCATCTCCATGGTCATGTGATCAAAATTCAGATGCTTGTCAACTGACTGCAGTTTCTGACGATTGCAATGTCCTGGGATTATGTGATCCCTTTTGCGACCTTCTGACAAGCCAAGTCAGTGGGAAAGCCAGATTTGCTTAACAACGATGTTATTGATTTAACAACTGCAGTGATTTGCTTAGCGACTGTGATGAGAAATGCTATAAAGTAGGGCAAAATTCATTTAATAACTTTCTCACTTAACAATAGAAATGTTGGGCTCATTTGTGATCATAAGTCAAGGACTATCTTCATTGCCTTCAACCAGAATAGGCTTTTCCTATACATTAAGTATTCATGGTTTTTCTAACAGTTCCATTTTTAAGAGATTCAATGAAAGTTCATAAGAGACAGGTGCCCCTGTCTGTAAAGTGGTATGAGTAAACCTATAATGTCCTCCTAGATCAAATTTTCTGGATTTCCTCTTTGTGTATCTCACTAAAATTATGAATAACCATGTATTTCTACAGGCTTTAATGTGTATCCCTTGTTTTATTGTTAGTTTTAATCTAACATAATTGCCTTTTGCTATTGCTTGATTTCGGTCTAGTTCTGTTCTGTTTCTTTTAAACATTTTTATGGACCATGTTATATGGTTTTATTTTGTTGCATGCTACTTTGCTAGCATCATTTAAAAAACAGCACATAATAAATGTATATTGTTATTGCTAATATTGTTATTAGCATTAACAATCTCATTATAGTTATTTTTATATGCCAGTAGAAAGGTTATTATGGTTTCTTTAGGCATACATTAACATATTATTGGGAATGGAGAGCCTGAATTTTCATTCCATAGTTTGTTGGATTGCATCTATCAATCTTGATCACTGCTAAGAATTTTTTTGTTTGTTCTAGTTGTAGAAAAAATGGACAATGTTTCTGGTGACATGGAAGATTCACGCCAACGATGCAGTGAGAAGCTTTCAGAAGTTAAAAGTGATTTAAAGAAACTGGGTAATTAATATGAATGAACTGGTTAAGTAAATGGTGAAATTATTATACCTTTGTCATAGAAGTCATCAACATACTAAAATTGGAACCAGTAGTAATTTTTTTACAGTAGCTGGTAATAGATTGTTTAAAAGATTAGTTTAATTTGTTAAACTAATTTCAAATTCTGAATCCTACACTTTATACAGTGTCATACTGAATTAATCCACATTCGAATTATGCATTTACTCACTATGAAACCAACTAAAGTATGTGTTAAGACTATTAAAGCTAAGATGAATCTCTTGGGTAATTGGGATATTAGCAAAGACAGTTTTTACCCTTCTGGAAACATACAATAGGACAGATTTCTTCTTGTCTAAAATCATGGTAAGCTTCTGAGAGTGAAAACAGATGATACTGATCTAGGTTTACTGATGGTCTCTCAATAAAAGGGGATTTGTGTGCTCTTTGTATGCCTTTAATTTTCTGTGTTTCAGTGACCCTTCCATCAGCCTTGTAAATAGAAATTAGTTTGTATTAATTTAGAATTGCCCAATGAAAACTGATGTTCATTAGCAATTCCTCAAATAAGTTTGTTTATGTATTGGCTTATCCTCCTGTTTGTATGATGAAGTAAACTCTGTTAAACTGTTCTTCTGATATGTAACAAATGTGAATATTTATCACTTTCCTGCTTCTTTCAGATTATCAAGCTGAAGAGAAAGCTATGACCACAAACACAGAGCTTTCAAGTTTCAAAGATGATATTGTAGCCCTCCGCCAGCAATTTTATGAGATTTCAGAGAAAACCACAAAGAACAAAGATACACTGGAAAAGTTACAAGAATCTGGTAGCATGTTAAATGATAGGCAAAGTCAAATGAATGGTGTTTTGGACAGCAACTCTTTCATGATCAAAAATATCAACAAAACTCTTCAAGCTTACAATGGCTACATCAGTGATCTCCAACAAGACACAAATAACATTCAAACAAACTTGCAAAGCCAAATGCACTCACATAATGTTGTCATACTGAATTTAAATAATCTTAACCAGACACAGGTTCAGCAAAGAAATCTTATCAGTGCTTTGCAGAGATCGGTGGATGACACAAGTCAGGCTATTCAAAGAATCAAAAATGACTTTCAAAACCTTCAGCAGGTTGCCCTCCAAGCACGGAAAGATACTGATTGGCTTAAAGAGAAGGTGCAGATTTTACAAGTATTAGCAGCTAACAATTCAGTTATGACCAAAGCTAATAATGATACACTTGAGGATGTGAGCAGTCAGTTAAATTCATTCAGTGGACAGATGGAGAATATCACTACTATTGCTCAAGCCAATGAACAAAGTTTGAAGGATCTCCAAGAACACTATAAAGAATATGAAAACAGAACATCTGCCAAATTTAACCAGCAAGAAGACCAATTTCATAGCTTTGAGACAGATATTGTCAACATTATTAGTAATATTAGCTACACTGCCCATCAGTTACGGACACTAACCAGCAATCTCAATGATGCCAGGACAACGTGCACAGATACTCTTAGTAAGCATATGGATGAGCTGACTTCTATGAACAACACATTAACTAATATTCGTTTTGATGCTACTACTTTAAGGATGCAGCAGGATGTGATGCGGACACGGTTAGATATTGAAGTAGCAAATTTATCAGTAATAATGGAAGAAATGAAGCTGGTGGATTCTAAACATGGCCAGCTGATTAAAAATTTCACAATACTGCAAGGTAAGAAATGTATTGGATGACTTTTCCAAAATAGATATTGGTATTGATTTTCAAATTGTTTAAGATACCTGAGATTACCAGCTCCATGTGGCTTTCAGAAGCAGTGTAGGAAAATAAATATGGTGACTACATCACTCCACTTCCTAGCTTTCTGTAAAGTTGCTAGGGAACAGAAGTTTAAGGAGAAATAGTAGGTCAGGTTTTCAGGTTCATTAGAGTTATTCTTTTCTGCTAGCATATTACTAGCTGAATACCTGTACTCTGCTATGAAACTATGTGATTGCGCTTGATAAATTGACACAGCTTGAAAAATAATGAGTAGTTATGATAGCAATAGCAATAGCAGACTTATATACCACTTCATAGGGCTTTCAGCCCTCTTTAAGCGGTTTACAGAGTCAGCATATTGCCACCACAGTCTGGGTCTTCATTTCACCCACCTCGGAAGGATGGAAGGCTGAGTCAACCTTGAGCCGGTGAGATTTGAACCTCCGAACTGCAGATAGCAGTCACCCTCTCCTCTCCCATTCGCTCCCTCAGGCTTACCCCACAGAAACCTCCTTTTTTATTACCTTCTCTGCCTCAGGCTCCTCTCCAAAGTCCCAGCCAGCAGGCCGGATGAGTCACGTGCTGGCCACACTTTCAGGTTAGGAAGTTTTCAGGTTAGGAAGGGGAGTGGAATGTCTAACTCCTTGGCATCAGAGCATGTTAATAATAATATAAGAAATATTAATGATCTGATGGTCATTTTGAAAAATCCTTTCTAAGGGAGCACCTAGAAGCCAAGAGAAGCATATGTGCCACATTTCAACTTTGTAGGCTTTACAGTTCTGGAGATTTCATGATGCAGTGTGAGTGGTTTTCACTTTTATATATATAGATATAAAGAAACACATGTACTTTAGCTATAGAATTAGATAGCATACGTTTTAGTGATGGTTCCAAAGTTAAGGAAGATCTAGTAATAATGGAAGAACAGTTGAACAAGGGTTGATATATGGACACTTTTCAAAGCCGCATAGAAAAAGTTACACAAATGTCAACATTTCATTTAAGCAGTACAAATTACAATGGTCAAAACCAATGGTTTTCACGTTGTTTTTTTTCCTATATCAAAGAACCTGGGTCCTGAAAACTGTGAACCACAAAATCTTATTTTTTGACAACAATAATATGTTGACAAATATTCTGCTACTATATGTATCTGTTTTGGTATTCTTGTGGACTTAAACATTGCAATAATACTGTTGAACTTCCTGTTATAATAGGTAGGTTAATGAGTAATCTCATGGGGATTGAAGCAGTGTTTGCCAGTATGGAAAGTTTTCTTTAAGCCAAAATAAATGAATAAATAAATAAATAAATAAAAGTAAAAATAATTAAATAATGAGAAGAAACAAACTAGCATAAATGTTATTTTGTCCTCAAAGAGGCTGCTGCAATTCTGGGCTCTAAGAAACACTGAAAATACTGGATTCCTCAATATGTCTATAGAGATTCTCAGTCATGCTGGTCATGGTTTTCCCAAAGCTGCTTTTTCAAGAGGCAACTGGACTTTCTGGTTTTTCTTTGAAGAAGTTTCGCTCCTCATCCAAGAAGCTTCTTCAACTCTAACTGGATGGCAGGGAATGAAAGGATTTATATTCTTTGCAGACAGCTGGTCATTTGCATTCATTTTTTATAGTCATTGAGGCAACTTGGAGGTTTACCTGTGTGGTCACCTGAGTAGTTCAAATGAGTGTGGAGCCTTCTTGGAACTGTTGAAAGAATTGTGTTGTGGACTGGAGATAGATGATGTTGTATCCCTCCCACCTCAACAGAAAGTCCAGTTGCCTCTTGATAAAGCACCTTTGGAATTTCCTCAAAACTTTCAATTGAAATTCTCTAGTCTTCCTTCTCTGCCCTATTTTCCTCGCTTGCATTTTTTATGATTTTGGAAGAGAAATGTATGTCTTAAACTACTGTGGTACTGGATGCCACTTGTTGAGAAACACTGGTGTAGACTATAAGCTATTCATTGGATAGTTAAAATAGAGATTATGTGAACATGTAGTATTAATGTAGTATGGTTAGGGCTGATTGGTTTTGTTATTTTTTTGCTATTCTTAAGTTTATATTCCTCTGACTTTTCTTTCGGAACTAATTTCTAAAACAAAATATAATAATTGAATGGATTAGTATTGTCTAAAATGCCAATTTCTATTAAAGAGAAGAATGCTGCATTGAATTAGTTTTTATAACATTATCCTGCAAATTAGTTTTTATAACATTATCAATTTAAAAAATAACTGCAAGGTAAAATTAGTCCATTGTATGTTTAAAGTGACATTTTGGTTTACTGATTATGTTGAAATATCTTAGAATTATAGATGAAAAATGTTATTTAGGTGATCAAGTCTGTCCACTCCTCAAACCAGGAATCCAAATTAAAGCATCAATGGCCGATATTTATTTACCTGTTATATATTTATATCTTTGCCTTTATTTTTGAAGCTCAAGGGGTTTGTGTGTGTGTGTGTGTGTGTGTATGTGTGTGTGTGTGTGTGTGTGTGTGTGTGTGTATATATATACACACACACA